CAAAAAAAAAAAAAAAAAAAATATGGCAGCTGAGGGTGGGCAGGGAAGCAGGGCAGGGAAGTAGGGCCTTATCTCAGAGGCTTCAGTGTAACAGGAACTGGCTGCAAGTTAATAACTTCTGCCTTCACTCTATTCATTCCAATGGTTATCTCTGTTTATGGAAAGTAATTTTGGTTTTCAGTCATGATGGTGATATCAAATTTTCCTTTCTAAAATATTGTAAAGGAAAATCAAAACTAAAAAGTGTTGAACAGCAGCATGAATGTACTTAATGCCATTTAACTATATACTTTAAAGTGGTAAACTTTGAGTTGTGCAAATTTTCCCACAATAAACTAATTAAAAGTACAAGTACTTAAGGGAAACTTTACACAAATAATAGCACAGATGAAAGGTGGGTTTAAACTAAAGTTTAAGAAGTGCTGATGTTGTCTAGCCTCCTTGGTTCTATCAGGAAGGAAAAGAACTCTCAGAAATGTTAAGTGGAACAGAGAGGAAATTTGGAGTCATATAGATCTGAATCAGACCTAACATGCTAACTGTATGGCATGAACAAAAGTTCTCTTAAATGGAATTTGGAGGAAAGAGACTTTATTTCAGTAAACAGTTTACACACCAAGGCGATGTACCCTTCCTTGTAAAATGATGATACAGTCCAGATAACAAAAGGAAAGTTAATTTATTAATAATAGTTCCTGCCCAGGTGTTCCTGCCCAGGTTCCCAATCAGGTCCATCTATGCAAATGAAGGATTCAAACTTAATTAGTTTTGATTGGTTGATACAGCTGAGCCCTGATTGGAAAAGGCAGCTGAGCCATGATTTGATCAAAGCAGGTGAGCTCTGATTGGTTTTTCAGGTGAACTCTGATTGGTTGGTTCAGATGATCTCTAGAAGTCCCAGAGTTCTAGAAAGGTGTAGGTTTTCAGGAAACACAGAGTATGTGTGTGACCTCTAGTCAGCAAATGACTGCTTGGCTTTATTTTAAATGTAAGCCTAGCTAGCCACTCAGGATCAATCTTGAAGGATTGGCTCTTTCGGGTTCTCTTTTGTTTCTGATGGTTTGGGACAGTCACTTTTCTTTTTTTAACTTTAGGTCTTTTGTGTAATGGAGACAATATTATCTCCACCACAGGAATGAACTAGGGGTTAAATTGTATATCATACATAACTGAGCATAAATCCTAGCCCACAGGTACTTAAACCTGAGCCCACATGCTCCCCCAGCTTTGCCCTTGCCTGGCTACCACCCCGCCATGCCCCTGAGCTCACCCCTGGCTAGTGCCCTGCCCCTGGTTACCCATCATCATTTCCTTCTAACCTCGGAGTTTTATGTTGAAACTCCTTGGCCCTTCAATAGTGTCTTGGCTTTACTGGCTGACCTGTTGGTGGCCTGTCACTTGATGACTGTGATCAAAGTTTCTAGGGTCTCCAGCCTTTCAGAGCCCTGCCTGGGACTCCTACTGTCACTGTCCTCTTGACCCAGCCCACTGTGTTGCCTCCTGGGAGCACTGCATCATGATGCCAGCTGAGCCCAGGTGCTAATGACTATGAGGACACTCAGGCTGCATAGGGACACAGCCTCCTCTGCCACACATGTCCCCACATATTCCTCATGTTGAGCCTTGAGGCGATAGGCCCTCGCCTATCAGCTGACTCCATAAGGAACTTCCATATCCCAGAATTCTTGATACTCCTCTCTCACTTCTCCCACCTTTTCCAGACCTCAATGGCTTCTGGTGGGAGAGGCTAATAAAATGGGGAGGTATCAACATGCCAGCCTGGACATAAGAACAACTCTCAGGCCCAAGCCAAGCCAGACCAGGACCTTCACCACCAAAAAACATGTTGGACCTCTGAAAGTAGCCGGCATCTCCCAGCAGATGTTAACATCTGCCCAGGGCTCTTGTGGCCTCTCTCCATCTGACTGATATTCATTCCCATTATAATGTCTCTTAACTCCACCTTCCAAAGACAACCTGGCCTCTATGGCAGCCCTACTGCACAGGTTCCTGTTCTCAAGGCAACCTAATTGTCAACTTTTATTCATTCAGCATATACAGTATGATCTCAAATTTGCACAGCTGCTAGTAAATCCTCACAGATTTCTATTTAATTGCATGAACTGCTTGTAATAGACTATTTCTCAATATCTGGTTCCTGGAAAAATGTGCCCTGCTCACTGCTCACAGTGACAGAGTGCCCAGGCAGTTAGCACCCTCCTTTCAGAAGCCCACACCAGCAGATGTAATTGTCGGGAAGAGGGATGCTCAACCACCCTTGATGCTGCCCAGAGCTCACAACACAGGAGGCAGATCATCCTCAGCCCACAGTCTTTGTTCTCTCTCAAAGCCCTTATCTCTTCCTCCTTCCTTTTGTCTCTGGCAGGAGGGTCAGCAGAGGACAGGGAACACAGAGCTGAGGAAAATTCAAGCTAGAGAAAGAGGAAGTGGCCTGCACAAGTTCAGATGGAAAGACTAGGTGAAGGCAATTTACAACAGAATCAAGAACAGAACAGAACAAGGGACAGAAGTGCTCCCTTGTCCCTCCTGCTTTTCCTAATATGTGACCCTGAGGGTTTCCAGCAGATACCTCCTACAGTTTTCACTAATAAAGGATTCCATGTTTTTAAAACTTTAATAGCTTTAGCTTCTGCTTGAAACGTTGAGCCATGGAAACTCCTACTACATTCTTTGTTGATCATCCTGGTCCATTTCCATCATCTGAGGACTCAGTTTAATTCTAGTTATTTCAGTCCTTTATTTGTATGTTTCCTGACTTTGAATAGAAATGAAACAGAATAGAAATGGAAAGGATATAACTTCCAAAACATAAGGCAGAAAATTAAATATGATCAATCCAACAAATGGAGAGAAAATGAGGGGGAGGAGAAAACAAGAGAGAAAGATAAGTAGAAAACAAGATGACAAGAGAAGGTACAAGCATTTTGAATGTCATAATAAACATAATAGGTAGATTTATCTAGCTCTTAGAAGAAATAAACTGGGAGATTGGGTCTTAAAAAAAGAGGAATAATTTTGTTCTTTCTTATGGCTGCATAATATTCCATTGTGTATATACCACATTTTTTTAATCCAGTCTGGATGTAATTAGAGTTTATAATACTGAGTGATCTCTCACAGAAACAAAGATCTGAATATCACATGTTCTCACTCATAAGCAGACCTTGAACAACTATCATAATACTATTAGAAAAGGATTGACAGTGACAGGAAACTATGGGGGGGCAGGGAGGGGAAGGGAGGTGAGATTAACAGTAATTGACATCTGTCTGGGGATGGGAGGGGGCACACCTCATCAACAAGGGTACCTGCACAATGCATATTTGTATACCTAACCCTTAACTGTATCCCACAATTTTAAAGTAAAAAATATGTAGTTAAAAAAAAAAGGAATAAACAAAAAGATTGAAAAGCAAAAGTATGGGAAAAAAGA